GGTACTAAAATGATTTTATAGTGATAAAATTGTAATTCAGTTTTATAATATGCATGTTCTTTGTTTGAAGAACTCTACAGTTAAAATGTATTTGATAAAATTAGTCATTAATAAATGCAAATTAATAAAAAGATAATCTTTGTCACAGAAAACTGGATACATTGTTTTACAGCAGTAAGGTTATATCTTTAAAAAATGTTGATAAAAACCACAAATTTTAAAATAATTTAAAAAATACAAATTGAAACAGCAGAGCTTCATGCAAAACTTACTTGGGATTTATTGCTGGTATTTAGCACAATTAGGCTCCAGCAATTCCTCATGGGTGGGGAGACAGGGTCCCTAACTGCCTGTCTTGACTGGGAAAAATACATATTCTTTTGACAGTCTTGAGTTTTCTTTTAAAAAAAAAAGTACTCATTTTTATTAGAAAGCCAGATTTACAGCAAGAAGGACAGACAATGATCTTCTTTCTGCTGGTTCACTCCTCAAGAGGCTGAAACAGCCAGAGCTGACCCGATTGGGCCATGAGGAGGCACAGAAGCTTGATTTTGCTTATGTATTCCTTTCCTCCTCTCTATAATTCTGCCTTTCAAAGAAAATACACCCAGAAACCAAGAGGAGGCTGGGAAATGTGCCTAGAAATGATCTAACTCCCTTTGAGCACATTGCTGTAGATAGGGTCGAAGGATGCATTGGTAATGAAGGTGGCATGTACAGACTCACTTGGTCACTGTACAGTTTGTGCGTTTGCTCGGGGAAAGTAACAGACGGATGATTTCACTTGAACTTCAATGATCAGGAGAAAAGTACATGGTTGAGAACAGAGCCGAGGTGTCCAGTTTTGATTGCGTTGAGTTGTTTTCCCATGTAATCAATCAAGCAGTGTGCATAAAATTAGAAGAGGAAGGGACAGAAAACCTTGGGCAAGGGAGGAGACATATACATATCTCTGCTGCATTTCGTGTGTCTAAATTCTTGAGGGTTTTTAGTGCATGGATGAATATTTAACTGAGTTATGTGTGTAACAGAACCAGTTGATTTTTTTTTTTTTCATCTAGAGGAAGAATTAACAGGAAAAAAAGTCTCTGGAAATCCAAATACATACATTCTGGCTAAAAACTAAATCACATTACTATATGTGTTTACATAAAAAGGACTTGATATTGAGTGTCCCTTGGGTGCTAAGTATTATGCTTCTCTTCAGGAATTTTAGTCTTCTGCAGTAGCCCAGGCTAGGCTTCACCCAGTTTCTTGTCTGGTACCCAAGGATTCAAGGAAAAGCCATACATAAAGCTGAGCCAAGAGTAAGACTGATTAATAAAGCAACAATATTCTTTCAGGAACGAATGTGAACCAGCTGGGAAGGGGAGCAGGAGAGTTGAAGGCCATCTTTTTATATGATTTGGGAGCCAAGGAAATGGTATCTGGGGCAAGACACAGCTCAATATTCAAAGATGGTGGAGACTGGAGTGCTTCAGGACTGCCTACCTCCTTCCCAAATCCTGCAGTGCAGTGGCATCAGGTGCATGACCGGAGTCCGAGGTGTTGGCCTCATGATCTGAAGGTCATAGGAAGGAAGGGGTGGAAGGCACAGCAGGCAGCTGCACTGAAGGTGCTGGGTCTTCAAAGGCAGAACTGCAGCACCTCAGTGGGCGTGGCAGGGGGTGGAGTTTAGGATGAGCCAGGCTGAGATGCACTACAGGTGAGAGCGACCACAACTCTACCCACCTCTAAGCCTACATCACCAGGATCCTGGTTAATCTGAACCAGAAGCTTACATCATCATGTACACTTTCTAATCATAGGAATTAACAACTTGCCAGACTAAACCAAGTTTGTGTCGAGAGAAATTCTTGGCCCTCAATTTGTACCTTTGAAAGCCCATATTCTTCCCCTTAAGGAAGATGGGAAGTAGAGAATGGTTCACAATTTTATCTTGAAAACTGGCGGTACTCTATATACTTGGTTTTGCCTCAACTCCGATATCTCTATTTGCAAGTTTCCTGGAGAGAAGTTGTAAAGGTTTAAGTTTTCTGCTCCACGTTGATAGACAGTCATGGGCCATCCGCAGTTCTTGACTCTGAATGTTCTGCACAGCCCTCCAAAAATGACATGTATTTGTCTGGATTAGGAAGGGGTTGATTTTCTTACTTTAATTGGCAAGCGGTCAACATGTTTGTTTTCATAACACATGCTCTATAGATGCATTAACTAGCAGCTTTCACTTCGGCTAATACAAGTAGATAAACAGCAGGTGCCATCAGCTGCAGGTCCTCCAAATTGCTAGGTGCATTAGCTCCGACTTCATTACCTGCTAAACCTCTATTTCAGTAAACCAACACGCACACCACTTATTTCATCACTACAGAATATTCTGTGTAGCACAAGGTTTATTTTTCTCCTTCTCTAGCCTTTTTCTAGATTGTTTTTAGTTTACATATTTCCTTTGGGCTATCACCTTTCAAACTGTTAAGTCTCACACATAATGCCAGTGACCTGCAGGACTGAAAGTCCATTTCTGCACACCCCAACACGTCTCTTGCTTTACAAAGCATGGACTCACGCCCAAGCCTGGCATAGTCATTTTCACGTGGGAGTCGGGCTCCTCTTCTTAATCAATACAGATGAAACTTCACTGTTTTTCCAATGATCCTAATTGTACGGTAATGATTCAGTAATCTAGACTTGATTTCCAAAGGAATTTCACCGGGGAAAACAAACGCTACAGCTGCTTCCAATCCCCATCGATGTGCAGACCCTCATCTCAACAGCCTCTCTCACCTGCACACGACCAAGGTGAGTGGCGGCAGGGCATCTGAGGATGTTTATGGGATTCGATTCTCTTTTGGATCAGTTCCTTGTGATCCTCCGCCTCCCTAAGGCACCCACACCATGCATGTCGGTTTAACTTCTCGCCATTCACGCCATCTAGCGGTTCTCACCGATCTGGGTTTGGGTTTAAGGAACATTCCTAATGACTCGGGGGCGGGGGAGGTGTACTCTGAAGGGGAAAAAAAAAGGTTGTCCGCGAAAATTTTCCTATCTCCCTCCACATCGCTCACCCTTCACACGAACACCTATCAGTAACTGTAACCATTTCGGATATGCGCAGAGCTGCGCAGACAGGATGGAGGGGGGCGCACACCCCGGGAGACGCGCGGCCCTGGACGCTGGCATTTAAAAAAGGGCTCCCAAGCCTGCTGTCATTCTCAAAGGACGAGAAAAGGAGTTGAGGCGAGACCTAGACCGAGGAGCCTGCTTGACTTTGGAGCAAGTTGGGCAGATGACATTAACCCCCTCAACGTCACCATCTGGTCTTGAGCATGCATAGGTAGACAGATAGATTAAAAACACGAAGAGGAGGAAAAACAACGGCACTTAAAAAATTCTGCCGCGAGGCTTTGCGGGTCGCGCCACCCGGGCGCCCCCAGAAGACAACCAATTCGTGCGCGTTCCGCTCCACTCGCCCTCCTTCTCGGCGTCTCTGGCTCCCGTTCCCCCCCTTTTCCCACGCTCTCCGGGAACCGGGACTCGGGAGGCAGACGCGAGGCATCACCGGTCCCCTGCCTCCTCGGCTCCAGCAAGGCACCGCAGCCGAGCGCGTGAATCTTCCCTTTGTTCATCCGAGGCGCGATCTCCTTCCCCGGCAGATCCACCTGGATGCTCTCCCTCGGTGACATTTTGCGCCGGGGCTGGTGGGCGGCTGGGGTGGAGCGAGAGAAGCCCGAGGGGGCGGGGGCGGAGAAAGGTCAAGCCGAGGCAAAGGCAGGAGACGCCTCTCCTAACCTGCGTGGCGGGGCGTGCGCGCGCTTATTTATTTATTTCTTCCTTATTTATTGATCGCACGAGCAGAGCGGCGCAAGGAGCTCGGGGAGATGCAGGACCACCCACGGGCGGGGAAGCAGGGAGCAGCCCTTCCGCGCCCCCGCGCCGCCGAGCGCCTCCTGCCTCCGCTCTCGGACCACAGCCCACGCCGGCCCCGGCCCGGGCCCCGCCGCACCGCCGCCGCCTCCGCCGCCACCGCCACCCGCCCGGCATCCCCGCGAGCCCGGCGCCCCGCAGCCCCGTACCGCGCCGCCTCGGCCCTGGCGACGGTAGCCGCGCAGTAAGTTGGCAGGAAGCGAGTGCCCTGGGTTCTCGCCTCCCCCGCACCTTTTTGAACTTGTTGCTGCTGCTCGTGGCTCGCCTGCGCCGGGCTTGGGGAAGGTGAACCCGAGGAGGGAGGCACGGAGGGATGGGGGAAGGGGAAGGAGAGCTCGCTTGAGCTTTATTTACGCTCCCTCGGCTCCTGGGATTCAGCTGCTGCTCTCGAGCCGCCGCCTGTTCTTGTTCCCTTTCCGGGTGCACGGCGACGGGAAAGTCTGTGCAACTCAGCCCCGGCGCGCACTTTGCCAGGTCCGTGCCGCCGGCGAGGCGCGTGGTGCGCGGAGGAGGCAGATGCTGCTGCCGCCCAGGCGGTGGTGGCTGCCAAGCTCCTGGGCTCTGCGACTGTCACTCTGCACCTAAGCGGAACTTGAGAGTGAAGGGGCGATTGGGCGACGGCTCTTGGCCAGACTCGGAGGGCGTTTGGAGGAGTGGGGGAGGAGACGCTACCTTCGAGACCCCCCCTGCCGTGCCCAGGGCGCATCAACCCCATCTCTGCAAATACTGGCAGGAGTAGAGTAATCGCCCATCGGACTCCCCAGAGAGGCGCGGGGTAGCGGCTGTGACCGCTTCTTGGAAGCCACAACAGGTCGCCTTTTGGAGACTGCTTTGGCTGGGAGGGCTGCCTGGACCTGGAACGAGAAGGGTAGGTGAAAGGGTTGCCTGATTCGTCAAAAAGAATACAGCTGGCTGACTTTGTCTTCTCTCAACTATACACACTGGGTTCCTTGTTATCCAGCCCGTGGCTGGGCGAGCTATCAGAAACACCTGTCTGAAGAAAGATATTTGCTACTTAAATCACCTGTGCGTCGATCCCCGCGCCCACAAGCTGGGAGAGGTTTGGTTAGGCTATGGCTCTGATTCCAAGTTCCTGCCCTTGAAGCAAACTGGGCCCTTCTGAGAACTGGGACTTCGTCTGGAGTAACAAGACCCGTGGGCCACGTTTCTGACTCCTTTTTTGCACGTGAGCAAGAAGGAGCCTTCGGCAACTGCGACTGGTTCTCCCTAGGAACCCGCTTGTCTCACTCCAGCAGCATGGCGGCAGGTGTGGCGGCCTGGCTGCCCTTTGCGAGGGCGGCGGCCATTGGGTGGATGCCCGTGGCCTCGGGGCCCATGCCAGCGCCCCCGAGGCAGGAGAGAAAACGGACCCAAGATGCTCTCATCGTGCTGAACGTGAGCGGCACGCGTTTCCAGACGTGGCAGGACACCCTGGAACGCTACCCGGACACTCTGCTGGGTAGTTCCGAAAGGGACTTCTTCTACCACCCAGAGACCCAGCAGTATTTCTTTGACAGGGACCCAGACATCTTCCGCCACATCCTGAATTTCTACCGCACGGGGAAGCTCCACTACCCCCGCCACGAGTGCATTTCCGCCTACGATGAAGAGTTGGCCTTCTTTGGCCTCATCCCAGAAATCATTGGCGACTGCTGCTACGAGGAATACAAGGACCGCCGGCGCGAGAACGCCGAGCGCCTGCAGGACGATGCCGACACCGACACCACCGGGGAGAGCGCGCTGCCCACCATGACAGCGCGGCAGAGGGTCTGGCGCGCCTTCGAGAACCCCCACACCAGCACCATGGCCCTGGTATTCTACTATGTGACTGGCTTCTTCATAGCGGTCTCTGTCATCGCCAATGTGGTGGAGACCGTGCCCTGTGGGTCCAGCCCGGGCCACATTAAAGAGCTGCCCTGCGGAGAGCGCTATGCTGTGGCCTTCTTCTGCCTGGACACGGCCTGTGTCATGATCTTTACCGTCGAGTACTTGTTGCGCCTGGCTGCAGCGCCCAGTCGTTACCGCTTTGTGCGCAGTGTGATGAGCATCATAGATGTGGTGGCCATCCTGCCCTACTATATTGGTCTGGTGATGACGGACAATGAGGATGTGAGCGGGGCCTTTGTCACGCTCCGTGTCTTCCGGGTCTTCAGGATCTTTAAGTTTTCCCGCCACTCCCAGGGCCTGCGCATCCTCGGCTACACGCTCAAGAGCTGTGCCTCCGAGTTGGGCTTCCTGCTCTTCTCGCTCACCATGGCAATCATCATCTTCGCTACGGTCATGTTCTACGCGGAGAAGGGGTCTTCGGCCAGTAAGTTCACCAGCATCCCTGCGGCCTTCTGGTATACCATCGTCACCATGACAACATTGGGGTAGGTGCCCGCAAGGGAAACGGGATAGAGGTGGGATGTGGGTGAGACGATTGCGTCCTATCCAGGTGCCATGAGTATTCGGATAATTCGGCAACTTTTCTCTAGATGGGTCTGGAACAGCTTCATGTCAGCAATTTGGGGAAACACCTTTGACTTGAGAAATGGGTGTGGCACAGAGCTGGAAGTGCCAGGGAGGTCCTGGCACTTGTGGGGTACTGATGCGTAAAAGTGACAACAGTAGTTTTAGAGTTGTTGAATGTCGGAACCATTTGCATATGTATGAGTCAGTACGTGTGATTACAAATGAAACTTGCGCCCTGATGAAGATGTGATTGGTACACACACGGAGGTATGTACAGAGTGCTTCATAGCATCGAAATGAGAAGTCTCCATGTGGATTTGAAATATTATTTCTCATGAATAGATAGTTACGACATTTTCCTTCTTAGAGTCTTGTTTTACAACTTTTAAAATACATAGATTATAGCTGTTATTAACAAAGGATTCTTTAATGTTACTTCTTGATGGCCGGTAAGTCATACAGTATTTTAGAATATTAAAACTGATTAACTTTTTGAATTGCATTAGAATAATATTTGCAACATTTTTAAAACTCTAGGTTTGTTGTTTCCAAAGAAATTAGCAAATGACTTCTCGTACCCGCACAGGTTTTGCAAGTTGTGTCTCTTCTGCCTCTTCAGACGTTGAGTGTACACAGAAGGTAGTGCAACTGTAGTGAAATTGATGGGTAACCACCTCTGCGTGAACTGTAGAGTGTCCAGTACTCATTTCCTTTTGAATCGCTTTTCTTCATTATTTTATTAAGGAGAATTGGAATTTTGCAACCAAAAACATTCTGTAATCACTTTTTAAAGGATTTCTAGGGCCAGAATTAAGAATTGTTTTTTAATAAGATGGTAGAAAAAAGAAATGGTGTCAAATATTAATGCTAAAATGTAAGGTAGCCAAATTTCACATGTGAGAAATTCTGATAGAACAAAAACATTGGAGCATTTTATGTTTCTGAGTTTTTTGATAAGCCAGGATGTGACGTTAATGCTCATTTTGTTTTTCAGTTTTATGTTATTTTTCTTGCACATAAAATCAGTTCAATAAGGATTTGGTAATGAAGAAAAACAAGTTATTCCCAAGGTTCCTTTATAAGTTTTGTGTTTCTAATTTAATTCTCTGTTTATGGTAACATTGTGGTTAAAATCGATTTTACTAAAGGTATTGAGTGGAATTTCTCATGTTCTATGACTCATCGAAGATTTTCTATGTGAAGGATTGTTTGGCAAAGTTAATTAAGATGTTATGGTAAGGTAAATTCATTATGTATGGCTCTGACAAAGTGGTATTTATGCTTTTGAAGGCATATTAGCTCATTTTAAAGACTGATTTTGGCAAAACTAAGATCCTACAGCTCATGTTTCCTTTGATTCTGGTGGTGGTTTGGTGTCATATCCTACAGAATACCTTAGTAGTGCCGACACATATTTCTCCTCAAAAAGGATTATTTCCCCCCTTTTTTTTTATGTTATGTGAAAACATTATTAAGACCTATTAGGTAGTAAATATCACCATCCTGGTTTCAAATTAAAAATGCCCTTGAATGAGAAGTGGATTTTGTATAGAGAAGAAATTGTAAAAAAAAGATATTAAAAGGAAATACAGTTTAAAAACTTTGCTGTAGATGACAGGCAGTATTTAGCATGAAGTTTCAGTAGACTTTTTGTGACTTTATCATGTCCTTTGGTTTTGTTACACTGAATGCTGATGATATACTAATTTCCTAAATGTTCTTGTCCTGAGATAGTATTGTTATTTTTAAAAAATTAATTTCCCAAAATGGCTTTTCCATTTTATTATCTTGGCATTTGTTTGTGTTTTTGGGGAAAATCTGAAGTGCAAAGCCATGGATAGCAGTGTTGATCATGTAACTGACATGCTGATAGTTATCTGCTTTTTGAAAAATACCTCCAACTGGATCACAATTCTTGTGGAAACCTGTGCAGTAGATTTAGTTCACATGTTCCATAGATAAATGGATTAGGAGGATTAAACACATTCTGCCTCAGAGAATTGAGGAAAATGTGAACTGTTTGAAGACTTATGTTTCAATGAAGTTGAATTCTGATTTTTAGAAAATTAGGTTGCTGATCCTCATAGAGTACATTAGTAAATTCTTTTATGATGTAGAAGTATCAGTACAATCAAAATGACAACATATGTAGACATTTAAAATTGTACATGCTGTATAATATAGAAAAGTTTCATGGGGAAGATGTTTTAGAATCAGAATATATTCTTAGAATCTTTTTGTTTTTTGTAAGTTACCTTTGGCCGCATTGTGACTTAATGACATTAACTAAGAATTGAAAATAGTTACTAGACATCATTGTCACACTTTAACCTTTAAGTATGACTATAAAGTAAGTTATAAAGTTACATTATAAACTTTCTGGTAAATATGTAATAGTTATTTCATCTGTTAAGAATTTTTGATAATGCTTTCCAAGCTTTTTTTTTTTAAATAAGGCAATCATTTTTAATGGAACTAAAATCAGTTAACTACTTTAGAAGTAGAAACGGGGTTTGGGATAGTAGGCTATCAAAAGTTCCAGGTCATTATGTACATGTGGAGAAGCGACCGAGGGCTTTGTCATCCGGCGCTGGGAGCATCCTCCACTGCTCGCCAAGTTAGACTGGACAGCACTCAGTTCTTTGGTTGGTTGGTTGTTTGCTTTTTTATTTTTGTTTTATCTGAAGAATTGAGTAGGTCTAAGAACTATTCTGTGTCCATCTAATTATTTTTATTTTGCTTCCAGAAATTGCAAAAAAATACTATCAGACTATCAGACTATTGCTTGACCATGATTACTATAGAAGTAGCTTTAAAAAAAAAAAGATGACAGCAAAACTAAGAATTTAAAATAGTGTTAAGGTTACCTATTTCCTACTAATTAAACATCAAAAGGGTAATTTTAAAAAAGTCAATGCAGGAAAGAATGCCAGAAATATTTTTTTATATGCAGAATTTAGATGCAGAATTTAGATGAAGTGGTCGTGTGGAGCTGTTCTTTATTCTTTCTTTCTGAGCACATTTAATGACTTGCACAAGACTGATGAGCCTTTCACCAGGCTCGCATTGCTGCCCCTTCCATCATGCAAAGTCTCATCATTGCCTTCAGCTGCTTCTTAAAATGAACTCTCCACTTTCGTCCTGATAGCCCTTTGGAAGATAGGGCCAAAGTGGTATTGTTCTTATGAGTATTATTCAAGTAGTGCTACTTAAATGTGGCTGAATTTAGGCAATTTAAAAACATTCAACAATAATTATTTAAAACTACTTAAAGAAGAATGTGTCCATAGGGCCAAGCTTCATTTTACATTAAACTCAGGTTGGCGGCTGTGGAGTTACTAGTAGAAGCATGTAGCACATTAAAGAATTTAACAAGTCATTAGACAATTTTTGTGATTTTGAATGTTGTAGGTTACAGAGTTATTTAAAAGAGGAGACTGTGTTGCCTATAATACGAATCTTAACTACATTAGCATCATTTCTGTCACCATGTCATCTACTTCAAAACAGGTTGTTTTAATCATGCACATCAATATGTGCATGAAAGCTGCTGTGCATCATTTGTTGTAGAATTCATGCTTAGAATGAAATTTTGTGATTTTTTTTTTCCAATCTGTAAAATTGATTTCTGGACCCATTTAAGAAAATTAGTTCATGTGTCATACAAGAGCCCTTCAAAATACTTGTGGAAAATGCATATTGTAAAAAACTGTGGGTTTCATTTTCGAATCAGAAGCTTGTTTTTAATTCCATTTTCCATCTAACTTTTTGAAGTACCCTTGTATCTTCCTCTGAATCAAATATGGCAAATTTTCACCTTTGCTCCTGGAAGTCTGACTGAAGTTGTCCATGTGAAAAGCTGACAGAAGTAGCTCTATCGTATTTCATGTTTACTGGGTTTGTTGATGGTTTAGGATACAAAACAGTGAAATATGTTTCATATGGTCTTCTAGAAAAAGCATCAATTCCTTTTTTTTTGAATGACATACAGTGGGAATTTGTCATTTACATATGTGATATCTGTCATACATTCTGTTGTAAATATTCATTGAGAAAGAAGATGAACTTTTAAGTAGCCTTCTCCAAGTACATGTTACCATTCTGATTGTGTCACTTTGGGAACTATTGGCAAAATGTCTTTTAGAATCATATATAAGAGTTTCATTGTATCCAGCCGTCACTGAAAATGGGTGGAATATTTTTGCTTGCGCCAGCATCTATGCTTATATATTACTTTGATCTACAATGTGTATCGAAGGGAAGTACCAAATTTCTCTTTCTAGAGAAAAACCTGGATTATGGTGGTGATCCATTACTATTTTGGCAATCTGTAACATATATGAGTGAACTTATCTTTAGGGAATGCTGATGGGTATTGAAAATGAGCTTTTAAAAGGTGTAGACAAATGTGTGTGTTGCTCCTTTGTCATTGAAGGTACACAAGACTTAAGTGCCTTGGTTTTAACTGTGATTGAAAATAGAGATGAAAGAATTATATGACATAATATTTTGATGTATATTTAGCATCTAAAATTCTAGCATTATCTTGGATGCCAGAGTTATGGCAGTTTTCAAGAGAGAGGGCCGTTTGTATTAGTGGATCTGTTTTGCCATTGTTTTTTCTTACCAGAATTTTACTTTAGACTGCTAATCAGTAGACCACTAATGAAACTAAAATACTAGTCAGGCTTTGTGTTATGTTTATTTTTTAATTTCCAGAATCATGTCTTTTATTCTGAACTTTTCTGTTCTTTGAAAATTAGTTATGGCAGTAGGAAATGAGTTCATATTTTTAATTATCCGATCCCTGGATTCATGGTGGAGAAAGCTCAATTGCCATTTAAAATTCTTTCACTTAGACTTGAAATATTTTGTGAATTGTTCATAATTAAACATTGAAACAGAAGCCATACTTTTT